TCAACAGTACAGGTAAACCAAGTTAACCTCCTATCTTAGGATTAAATTTCACGTTTTTATCAGCGAGACTGACGATGACGACCATCTTACAAACAGTTTGACTACAATTATTCATAACAGATATAAGAGACAGCTTGGACGAAGGTAATTATTTTCTCTTTGGACATTCCGTCAACTAGACACTATTGACATTTTCTATAACATTTCCATTTTTGTGATAACTCTATTGTCTATTGGCCCTTTTGCATGCACGTTCTATTGGCAATTGGCTTTCAACGTTCGAATCGTAAATAGAATGCTTTTTGTTATCTCCTCGGTTAACGAACTATTTCTGTTTATTAAAATGTATATAATTATTTAAAACGACACTGTTACATTTTGCACTAGGCAATGAAAACATGATTCAAATGAGTGGTCATGCAGTGAAGATAAAAGTGAAAGTAGATTTTTTCACATTGTGAAACCATTTTGTTTAAAATGTGGAAAAACGCTAACAACTCTCTTTAATTTAAAGTGCGGGTTAAATTAAATAACAGAAGATCATTAACGCCCCAATTTGAATTGTTTGTAATATATAGCAAGTCATTTTGCTCTTGTAAATGCAATTAACTGGAGCATTATGTAACACGTGTACACCATGCTAATCTTAATTGTCTCTTACTGTATCACCTTATGCAACTTCTCGTCGTCTAATTTTAGTCACGGGAGTCCTACTTTTGTTTGACTCTTATCTAACACTTTTTGTCGGCGCTACGTTAACATTTTTATATCATCGGTGCATCGTGCATCTAGCTTAGGAAGGTTAGGTCATGGTACCAAAATTAACAATATACACCAAACTTCGAGTTAGTGAAACGAACGTGGAACTAATTTTCTCTAGGCTCGTGAATTTAGGTATCAGGTTTATATTGTGCATAATTGCAATATTTAAAGGTTGTTCTCGAACTCCAAAATTTGAAATTGAAAAAGGAATGATGTAGGTAAAATTTTACTTTGTATATCTTCTTATAGGCGCACGATCTGATTGTCGGTCAACAGTTATTACTTACTAACTTGTGAAAAATTTCCTTTCTATAGACTTTAATGTGTATCGGGTGTTGGTAGTACTGGCCTATTTACACTTTCAGCTATTTTCTCTGTTTTCTGTCTTTGTAAAAATTACCGTTTGAAATAACTGATTGAAAATTTTTTTAGTCAAAACTATGCCGGTGGCTCTATTCACGTTATTGCTGCACAAGCGTTTCCAAATGGGCAACCGTCTGCATCACCATCTTTTCAATCTTACTTGGCACCATATCGAACAGACATAACAAATAGCAGAGATCGCTCAGTGGAAATTTTACCAAGCACGTTAGCAAATAACAATTACCAACGGATTACGTTATCAAATTTACGCAGTAACAATTATGATCAAAATTACCAATATTATCATTTACATCATCACAATATTCCACAACTTCCGGATGCGAAGCCTGTAAATCACAAGGCCCAATTGACGTTAAACTATAATACTAACGGTTTTGTTCCATCGTTACATTTTCCCATACTGGGAAAGCAACCCAGAGCTCCGGATTTGGATACATTCACTCAAACAAGAGGTAGTATAGCGTTATTCAGAAAACCAACGACAACAGAATTTATACCAATCAGCAAACGACCAGATAGTATATACAAGCAGTATTTAACAGTAAATACTGATAGACCAAAAAATATAAGCGCGTTATATACGCCCAATAACAACAGTTTTAATATACTCTCGTTCATTGACTACCTCAAACAACCTCTGTCGGGGCATCTGATATCAATACCGCAATACAGTGGAACAAATTTGACAAAGAACACCAATCCAAAAATTGAAATATACGCCGATTCACCTGTAACGAAAATAACCTCTGGCACGTCCCATTTAAAACAGGTATTGGCACTGACTAACAACCCAACAAAATTTAACACTAACGAAGACTTTAGGGAGACCATTCGTCCAAGCACATCTTCAAAAATGTTAGCGCAAAATTATTCTTATTACGACGAGTATTATGACTATCCTAATGAAACCGAATACTACGATGACGATTTAAATTTGTTGACATTGAATAGATCATATCCTTTAAAAAATTCGAGCGTAACGACCACTACACCGTTACCAAAAATAACAAAGGTAAAACCACCTCTTGCTAAGTTACATAATACGCAACGCAACACTGGATCGTCAACCACCATTACGTCACCTTTTGCCAGAATATCGACGACAGTTCGACAAACTACTGAATCCGGACATAGACTTAGTACGACACACAGGTACATATACTATTGTTGTGTAAGATTTTATTTACCTTTCAATAGTAGCTCATTTCTGAATGGTTTACACCTGACATCAGTCGGAATTGTATCCCACTTTAAAAGTTCATGCTTGAAGACCTTTCTTCATGTTAACTAGGCAATTGTTTTTATAAGAATTAGTCAACTGACAAGAATTTTCACCAACTTTGGAAAATGTGTCATTACGCACACACAGTGGAGCATATCATTTGTTTTCAAAAGGATTATTTCCTGTTGATTTTTGGTTTTGAGTGAATCATTGATTTTTTATGACAAGTTTAAATTAAGTCATACTTTTCAGAATTGAAAACAAAGGCAATCGCGCTATTGAACAAACCCTATCAACTGTCCCTCCAAAAACGATATACAATAACAGCAACAACTATGACTCTTCTCGTTATGATTCATATTACGCTCTATATGATGATGATGTGGATATATACAAAGACGTCGGTAAGAATTGGGGAGAGATTGGCCGATGTTCCATGGTAATTTGGCAATTTTAGAATATGCGCAACACTACAATAATGAACCGACGCCAAAGCAAGTTTATCGAGGTACTCCGGCAACAGTAACCCACGAAGTGATTCAACAAGAGAAATCGCCAAAAATCAGTAATTCGGGTTACATACAAAACACATACAGCGCGTCCGATGATATTTACCAACCGGCCGATGTACAGAGTTACAGCGACGACGTTTCTTACGGAACTCAAGTAAGTTATTTAAGCGTATTATGATTATATGGGGTTAACGCTAAAATGTTTTGACAGGATGACGAACGTACAGTATATCACCAAACAAGCAAACAAACAAACCGGTAAGTTAAAACTATGATACCCTCTTACTAGCATATATATGCAATCGAATAACGTCCCTAGGGGAGATCGAAATGAATTGAATTATATTGAGGAATCTGCGACAACTAAACGAATTACGACCACCACTACCACCACACCTGCATCGACTCCACGTGAATACTCTACGCAAAAGAATATTAGAAATCCGGCAAGGTACTACAACGAGTTGTCGCGCTTGAAAGTTTTCATTCATATGCAAAGGAGTCATATACAGTTGTCACACTTGCTTGAAAGCTTTGAGACTGAAATTTGTAGTATCTTTCTTTACCTGCAAGTTTTGATTTAGTTATATCTAGCATTAATATTTCGCCTTCTGAGACTATTATTTATCCAACAGATACCCTAACACTGCCAACCAGAATGAAGTACGAGTACAACCTACACTTTATACATTACCGGGAAGCCCAGGTTCCAAACATACTCCTAGTATCCAAAAACCTACCTTCCCTTTACTTCGGACTACTCCCGACGCATCCGTACAAAGACCAATTATCAAACAACCATCTCCATTTAGTTTTGCAAATCATGTAACTACACCAAAAACACTATTTTTCCATTATATAACTAAAACGTCCATGTCAACTTCAATAGTCTCAACGACTCCTACCTCAAGTACGCCTGAAAATTACAACAAAAGTCAATTGAACACCACGAGCAGCAAAATAATTATACCAACCACGTATTCTCCTCCCTTCTTCTTTTTAAAGTCACGTTTAAACAGTCACTCAGGTGAGACCGTAAAAAAAAATAACAGCTGGAATTCAACCGACAAATCTGTACCCTCCTTTTCAAATTCTTCAGCACATCTAGAAGTTAATGCCACTTCCATTAATAACGAATTATGGAGTTCGACGAATGTCGCCACTGAAGAGAACGACGAAGAAACCGCCACCGTTCCCGTAGCCCCAGCTTTTCAACCACAAAACAATCTAAATGACAAAATTATATCGTCTAGTACAGAGTCATTTAAGCGCACAGTCTATGTTCCAACAACAACCACCACTACCGAATTTGAACCTCAAGAAGTTTCAACTTCTGAATCTGTTGCATTGGATAACGATATCACCAACACTTCGTGGTTATTACTTCTTGAACGGTTGAATTCTATAACGACTGAAAATAAAACCGAATCAACTCCTATATCAGAAAGCGAAAATAATCAAACATCCAGTTACAGTTTTAAATCAAATTTGGAAAAACAACTACCCTTTACTTCTATTCCACCCGTTGAGGTGACAAAAAAGTTAAGTAGCTCCCGAAATACCTCACTTCCTGCTCGAGTTTCCCGGGTTAATACCGCTATTAAGTCGGTTATTGCATTTGGGGGAACGCCACGGCAATATAAATGTAGCGATAGTCCAAATGTCACATGTGGCAAAATAAATCAGAGGTAATGATCGCTCGAATATAACTGCAAAATTGCATGATTTTCACGTGTTTTTACATATAGTTGCACATGTTTCCAAGTTAACCATCCCACCTTACCACTCGCTTTTTGCCGAATTCACTAAATGATCCAAAATTATCCTGTTACTCCTCAAGAGACTGGAGGTTGACTGGACCCTTTTTCTCCAAATTATAACACATGTTGCACAATTAACGCATCACCCAAAATATTACCATAAAACATATACACAAACTGCTAGACGGCATTAACAGGTTGTATTAGATGGTATGCATGGTGGTAGCGTAGCTAGGTGGCAAATGTAAATAGTTTGATGGTCTAGGTGCATCGAATTGTTGTATAATGTTTATGCACTTCTAGAGTAACAAATAATCGGGGAAGAGGTTCGGCCCACTATACCACTTCTGGTCGGAACGACAATTCCGTAAACCGAGGCACACCGCCATCGTAAGACTAAATCGTTTTTATCGATTTGATGTTACATGCGAATTATTTTCAGACGTTCTCGGCCAACGCTAAAACCTTCTACTTCAGTAGTTGCGAAAGCGGCGGAATTCATCGACATCTACAAATATCCTCCACGTAGACCAGAACCAATCTATCCCCAACCTCTACCGGATAAAACTGCCGCGAAATGTCGAAAGGACGTATGCCTTTTACCCGACTGTTCCTGCGGTGGAAAAGAGATTCCCGGTAAGTTTTGTTTTGTCGTGTCGAACGTATTACAGATCTTCTGCAATCCAGCTCCGTTGGTCGAATGGTTAAAAGTATGCATGTGTAGATTTTTTTTGTGCCGTTAGGAGACTTGGACGTCGCCGATGTACCGCAGATGGTGTTGCTGACGTTTGATGATGCTGTTAATGATCTCAACTTACCTCATTACTCCGAGCTCTTTGAGAATGGGCGTGTTAATCCAAATGGTTGCCCCATTGTTGCAACATTTTACGTATCTCACGAGTGGACTGATTATAGTCAGGTTCAAAATTTGTACGCTGACGGACACGAATTAGCTTCGCACACAGTATCGTAAGTGAGGTGTTGCTGTCCAGGAGCTGCCATGTTGCTAATATATTTTTGCTTGTTTTATCTATTCTATATGCAATCAAATAGCTTATTTCGATTCTCTAACGTATTCTTCTTTGTCTTGCTATGCCCACTAACTAATAGGTGATCTACCTGTCGAGCAAGTGCCTCAAATGGTTCTCTTAACATATGATGACTCTGTAAACGACTTGAATAAGGGCCTATACAGCGACCTTTTCGAGAAGGGCAGAGTCAATCCCAACGGTTGTCCCATTGCCGCTACATTCTACGTATCCCACGAGTGGACCGATTACAGTCAAGTCCAAAACTTATACTCTGATGGTCACGAAATCGCATCTCATACTGTATCGTAAGTCCCTCCCACAATCAATCACATGCACTGTACATAGATTTTTCATATGCACTTAATTAATACTAATTTGAGTACAGTCATTTTGATTCAAATAGAATTAATGCGCGATTTTTTTCTATAAATGTTGTAAATAATATTATTCTTCTCTTAAGCTGCTTACTACTGTTTAATTTTTGTTTGCGCTTTTTGTGTTGTTGCTTAATTAATTATTGTTCTCCGCTGAGTGGCAATCATATAATTTGTCCAAAATTTCGTAGACATAGCTTCGGGGAGCAATTTTCTCAGAAAAAGTGGACAAAGGAAGTGGCGGGACAACGAGAAATACTTTCCGCGTATGGGGGTGTTCATTTAGAAGATGTTAGAGGAATGAGGGCTCCGTTTTTATCTGTAAGTTGCTTCGGTTGTTGGGCCTTTAGATGTAACTGAGGAGTGTTTAGGTGGGAGGAAATAAGATGTTCAAAATGCTGTACGATTCTAACTTCACGTTTGATTCTTCTATGCCAATATATGAAAACAAGCCTCCAAGTTGGCCTTACACTTTAGATTATAAATTATTCCACGATTGTATGATACCGCCGTGCCCGACTCGTTCATATCCTGGCGTTTGGGAAGTACCTATGGTGATGTGGCAAGATTTGAATGGCGGTCGGTGTTCAATGGGAGACGCTTGCAGCAATCCTTCAGATGCCGAGGGGGTATATAAAATGATAATGAAAAATTTTGAGCGCCATTACACGTCAAATAGGTAAGACTTAGGTAATACAAGATGTTATGTTATCAACATGAAATTGGTAGAGCTCCATTTGGTCTCTTCTACCATGCAGCGTGGTTCACACAACCCCATCATAAAGAAGGGTTTATTCAGTTTTTGGACGCTATAAATTCTATGAAAGATGTGTGGCTGGTAACGAATTGGCAAGCAATTCAGTGGGTTAGAGATCCTACTCCCACTTCTAGACTAAATTCCTTTCAACCATTCGGGTGTAATTATCCTGTAAGTTGTTTATATCACAATGAGAACTTGTACTAAAGCACTTTTACCAGGACCGACCAAAACGATGTAACAATCCTAAAGTGTGCAATTTGTGGCATAAGACGGGAGTGCGATATATGCGTACCTGCCAACCCTGTCCTGACATATACCCCTGGACCGGAAATACGGGTATTCACAGTAGCCGCATCGATAACGACTTAGAAGAATGATTATTCCTGCCTTATGTTAGATTCTGTCTGTGTAACATATTTTCCTAACTTGTATTATACTTTTCCAAACTGTCTTACTTCAAGAAATCTCTGTTATAAAAGCGGTAATATTTGCCGCAAAATGTGACGGCGCAGTTACTCATTTATAAGGAATACTCGTAATAAAACAAGAACAGTAGGTAACAGCGAAGTTTATTATTGTTTTTGTTTTATTTAATGACCACAAATGTAGTACTATGAACTGCATATTTATACATAATAGGATACTTAATTTATTTTACGAACATAAAGAATTGTTGATAAATATTGTAAATTCTTTTGTGTATAATAGGAAACCAGTGAGACTATGAGAAACGTTTTTAAATTATACTTAATTTAATTTTTGGTGCAGTGTTATTCTTAAATTTGGATTAACAATTTTGCTAAGCGTTTTCCTTTTCAGACAATTTTGAAGCATCACTTTGCCAAATAAAAGGAAGATCGACAGCGGTGGACCGAGCTTGGTAAAAATTCAAATAGTGGCTAGAAATTTTTAAAATCATGCCGTACACGTGCCTATCTTTGTTTCTGATATTTCTGTAATAATCGTAGACGTAGATGATCCGGGTCGATCTGAGACAATTTTTTTGCGGGCCTCAAAAAAAGGCAGTGTATAACCTTCCTTTTTTTACCAAAAATCGACTACACCAAAATTTCTCGAGAAAACACTTCTTCTTATTAATTTTGGTGCGTAGAATCCAAAACAATTCGTACTTTTTCGATCAGACTTCTCAATCAAAAGTTATAGACTAGAAACCAATTTCGAAAGAAAATTTAAAGGGCTGTAACTTTTGAACTAGTAGCCCAATCTTGGAACTGTTTGAAATTATGGATTCTACAGGCCACATTCTATAAGAAAATTTTTTTTCCGGGTCAATCTGAGACAATTTTTTTTTCGGGCCTCAAAAAAAGGCAGTGTATAACCTTCCTTTTTTACCAAAAATCGACTACACCAAAATTTCTCGGGAAAAGACTTTTTCTTATTAATTTTGGTGCGTAGAATCCAAAACAATTCGTACTTTTTCGATTAGACTTCTCAATCAAAAGTTATGGACAAAAAACAAATTTCGAAAAAAAATTCAAAGGGCTGTAACTTTTGATCTAGTAGCCCAATCTTCAAACTGTTTGAAATTATGGACTCTCCGATCGATCTCGATCTCAGACAATTTTTTTTCCTGCCTCAAAAAAAGGCAGTACTTTTAAGTTATTCAAATATTTGAGAACAATTTAGAAATGTTTAGGGAAAGTTTCCATTGTCACAAAATCAAATATAAAAATCCGATACATCTGAATACCGAACTCGATAGTCTACGTAACTTAAAAACAATAGGGACCTTTCTTATATCCTTAAAACCATGTGTACAAATTTTCAAAGCGATCGCACGTTTCTAAACAAGTTATCATGCACACGGACAAACGGATGGTCAAAAATGGATCTGTTCCAAAATTGCTAGGATTAATTTCCGAAAGGCGTACGTATCATGTGCACGACGTACGATCGCTTTGAAAACTGGTACACGTATTCTTAAGGATATAACTGGTATAAGAAAGTTCCTTTTACTCCCGTTAAATTTGTATATAACAATAGAAATATAAAAAAAGCTAACCCCATACAAAGTATAACTTGATTTTTTAAGTAGTATTAAGCCTTTTATCTAGTATACTATTTTAAATTTTTAATGTATTTGAGTGACAAGTATTTGAATACTTTTTACTGTATACTTTTCAAAGTAAGATAATGAAATACTGTTCAAATTATTCGAATACTTTTTATAGTATTCGAATACCTTTGATAGTATTAGATTTGATAGTATTAGAATACTTTTGAAAGTATTCGAATACATTCTAAGGTATTTGAATACTTATTTTTTTAAGTATTTGAATACTTTTCAATGTATCTGTATATAGTATTCGCTTGTGCTGGACGTAAAAGTATTTAGTATTCAAATACCTTTGATTTGTGTAAAGTATTTACTATTTAGTATTGAAATACTTTTTGAAAGTATTCTGCCCAGCTCTGCATGTGGTGCGCATATCCAACAAACAATCGGTGAGTAATCCTTTCCTATGCGAATATCTGTTCAAAATTTCTTTCGTAAATTAATCTTAATAGAAACCGGTGTCGCTTTGAAGATAAGGCAAAATTTGAATGTAAATCATTGCAGTTCTTTTGTGAACGTCGTTCGGTGTGTATGGTTAGATAGTGTGTCGTGTAAATTTACCGAATTTTGGTGTAATTTTGAAGATGAAGCGACTAAAAGGTACGGCATGATATTTAGACTTAATATTTTTCGCTACTGATAATCATTTCGGTCATAACTTCCTTGATTTGTATAATATTTTTTAAAGGAAACGAACGAATGGTTGGTAACGCAAATAAAACACACTATCGGGCGTATTATTTTTCAAATTTCACGATTATCTGATGTGATTTAATAAGAAGCTTTAAATCAGTACTAGTGCCCGGTTTCACAAACCATGATTAAGGTTAATCAGTGATTAAAAATATTAGAATGTAAGCCACCATTGATTATTGGGTAAGGTGTATACCATTCTAATGTTTTTTAATCATCGTTGGTACTAAGTATATGACGCGTTTTTACGCCCTGGATATCCAAATAGACTGGCCATATGGCCATGGGCCACTTTTACAAGTACCTTATCGTATATTTTTCCTTGTTTTTAACATTTGGTGTTCGTATCCATTCGTTTTTGCACGTTTCAGTTAAATTTTTTAGGGATTGCATATCATGTTTAAGTTACTAGTAAAGAGTATGGCATTCTGTCTAATATAAATTGGAAAACACATTCGCTTTTTAAAGTCGATGGTATTTCTCATTTTTATTATAATCAGGTTGGCAGACTGAAATATTTTTGAGTAATTACTTCGAAAAATCCTCCGACACGTAATGTTCTAGTGGCGTTTTTTACAATACCGTTTTACAACATGTAGGTAATGTAGGAAGTGAGAAAAATCATCCTTGAATTTGGATATGATTTTCTGATTGAATTACTTGATCGCAATAATTTCAAAACTGTAATAATTAATATGATTGAATCACAAATGCGAAATCTCATATCACACATTTGTACGTAAATACGTTGATGCTTTGTACCTTTTTCGAAAATGGGTATCTTTGGACTGTTTGTCTAAAAAAAAAAAGGAAATCTTGCTAAAAAGTTTCCGAATTTTTTTGGATATGTTGTCCATTTTTGTCTGAAAAAAGTTAGAAGTTTGGAAATCTTGTCACGCTATCGACAAGATATCAAAATCGTAGTTTCTAAATTTTGTTGTTTTGCTTGGATTTGGATAATTTGGTTATAAAAATGGGAACTCTTGAAGAAAACAATCCAAAACATTTAGAAACGTTGTCTCTAAAAAATTGGAATTTGGATTTCTTGTCTGTCCCATTTTGGGAGACATCACTGGCAAGGGTATTATATATATCTAAAAGGATGATCGACTGCGCTGGACCCAACTTGGTAACAATTCAAATAGTTGCTAGAAATGTTTAAAACCATGCCATGCACGTGTTTTTAATATTTCTGTAATCGTAGATGTGAATAGCAAACATGTGTTCCGCATATCCAACAAATAACCGGTGAGTAATACTTTCCTATGCGCAAATACCTGTTCAAAATTTCTTTCGTAAATTAATCTTAATAGAAACAGGTGTCGCTTTGAAGATAAGACAAAATTTAAATTTAATTGCAGTTCTTTTGTGGACATCTTTCGGTGTGTGCGGTTAGATAGTGTGTCGTGTGCTTTTACGGAATTTTGGTGTAGTTTGGAAGATGAAGCGACTAAAAGGTACGGCATGATATTTAGAATTAATATTTTTGGCTACAAATAATCATTTCGTGTGCGGGTTTCTTGATTTATATAAGTAATATTTTTTAAATTAAACGAGAAAATGGTTGGTAACGCAAATAAAACTGTGATGTGCGTATTATTTTTCAAATTTCACGATTATCTGATGTGATTTAATAAGAAACTTCAAATCAGTCCTAAGTATATGACGCGTTTTTACGTCCTGAATATCCAAATAGACTGGCCATATGGGCCACTTTTGCAAAGTTCTTTATCCGTGTTCTCTTTAGTTTTAACAGGTGTTCGTTTGCATTCTTGCACGTTGCAATTAAATTTTTAATGGTGGGTGTTTGCTGTTTCAGTTAAATTAAAGAGTATGGAATTCTGTTATATAAATTTCTGATTTTCATTAGCAGACTGAAATATTTTTGATTAATTACAAGATTTGAAAAAATTTGGGACGCGTAAATTTGAAGTCCTAGGGGATGTGTCTTTTACGATACCGTTTTACAACATGTGATATAGGAAGTGTAGTCACTTGTCATTCTTAATTGATTACATACAGCGTGATGAAAATAGGATGAACCAGCACGCCACCTCACTATTCAGAGAGATCCGGAATATGAAAAGATACCAAAAACAAAAAATCTCGCGATCTCTTAAAGATATTTGTGAAATTAATCACCAATTACTTTCTTTTCAAAGTAATTCCTCCTGCTCTGTGTGCCGTATGGGAATTGTGTACCAAAAGGTATGCGTTAATTGTGCAAATTTGTGGAAACTGTTTAGAAAATCCGGATAATTTGACGATACAAATTGTAAATCTGGACAAAAAAATCCAAAACATGTGGACAATTTGTCTTTAAAAAGTTAGAATTTGGATTTCTTGTCAGTCCTAGATTTTGAAGGGTTTCAAAATTCAAAAAGTGTTCGTTTCAATTTCAAGGAATCTAATTAAATGATATTTTATGGTTTACTAAATAACTCTCATGTCGTACATAGATTATCCGTTGCCGTAGAGGTTATGGCGCGTGCTGAGATTATCGATTTGTTATCACTTTATCAGCCACCTCTTTAGTAGGAAACAGTTTTTAAATATGATTATATGAACATTATGAAAAATGAATTGAATTATGGAGATATAGAAACCTTTTCGCGTCACCAACGAGATATCCAAATCGTAGTTTTCAAATTTGTTGGATATTTTGTCGCTTTATTTGGCGATAAAAATTGGAAATCCTGACAAAACAAATAATATTTGGAAGATTAGTCCTTAAAAAGTTGGAATTTGTATTTCTTATCGGTCTAGATAATTTTATTCCCAAGAAAATGTTTATACGTCCACTCAAGAATTAAGCTTGATTGGATGCAATCTCTCGTGCTTTCCAAATTTTTACCTCTGCCCTGTGCCTTCGCCTCTGCCATGTACTTCTTTAAATTTACCGAGATCTTCAAAGGTATACATGATCTGTAGGAGTAGGTACTATGGTGAATATGAATTGCAGCTGTTCTTGTGCCAAAAATGGAGAAAAGAGTGATCATATCACACGATCTTTGAAGGCTCATGCTGGTAGATGCAAAAAATTTCATTCTCGCATTCATGCATTCCTGTAACCTTAGCCATTTCCGTCGCAATGGCTCCTTAATTTCTCAGTGCGTAATTTAAAATTCAAAATCGTACTTAAAACTACCTACCAACGTAGCACAACAAACATTTACAAAATCCTGCTAAATAATGAGATCACCCCTTGTGACTTTCATGACCGTGCACGTATTGTATCCCGTTACACCTCCTCCTCTCCTCTTCAGCTACCAAACGCTTAGTATTGTAATGGAATGGTTCTGAAAGCTTTACCAAAAAAGCATTTTGTCCAAATCAACCGATGGGTCAAAATGTAAGGAGAATTTGCATTTTCCTTTTCCGTATTATAGTATTTTAATATGCTAGAAGAATGAAAATGACAAACCGAAAATGTCTTTCATATTAAACATAATTCTTGGCATCTAGAGTTACAACTCGAAATTCTACATTGTAACGCGGGCCTTAGATGAAAATACGAAATTGTAATTTGTAGAGTCGTAAAGACGGAATTATAGAAAATAAGCTCTACGTTTATTACGTTCTTAACTGTAGCTATACTGCTACAAATCAATTTTTCCAGTTAAATTAACAATAATTTTGGTATCTTTTAAGGGTAAATATGTTATTGAAGAGCATTGTATGTACCTACGGTCTCCTATTAAAAACAAACAAATGGTCTTTCCAAAAAACGGTTTTTGTTTTAGTATGGGTGTTGCTATTAGAGGAAATTGTGGAAGGGAAAATGATAAGCGCCACCTTTTCTAATTCCTATAGTTAACTGTACCGCCGCAAGGCACTGTTCTCCGGTTATTATTTAACAATATTTTAACACATCTAATGGATGATCTAAAAACGTTTACTCTTTCACTATACCAAAATATATCACATGGGATAGTTTAGTTAACTCTAGTTTGAACCCACCTCCTCTCACCCTCTAAAATGGAATATTGTTACTCTGATTCATAGTATAGTACTGAATCCCAGTTGGCATACACTTCCTTCCAGAGATGAAGGGGAATTGGTGCTAAACTATTAGCTCGACCCCACAAGACAAACTGATTAAAAGAATTGGGCTACATTTTGTTTCACAGAATGATGTTGGTGAAAAGGATAGGGAATCAGAGAAACACTAAAGAAGGTTCTTAGGGAGCACTTCCTTCCGAAAAGTTTGCTGGCTCCAGGGAAGTGGTAGCTCTTAAAAAAATGCGTCAATTCAATATAAGCCATGCCTTGTTGGAGTTTACTTCAAGTGCAGGAAACGTGTAACATATTATTCCCTAAAATTAGATCTATATTCTCAGTGTAAGGATGATAAATGCAGTAACACAACTTTAAAGTGAGCTTTTAGATGATAGCATCATTTTATTATGTTGTAAATTTCCTGTAATATCAGAAACCTGGTTAACAAATGAAACTAACTCAGACGTGTTAGAATTTCAAAATTTTAGGCTCCTGAGAAACGATCGACCCTCGAGAGGTGGTGGTGTAGCTTTCTACTATAAGCAAGAATTGAATTTAACCGTAATAAAAACTGATGGGAAGATTGAGGAGTTATGGTGTATGGTGAGCCATAGAAAAACTAAAGCTGTTTTTGGTGTAGTATATAGACCTCCAAGTACCGATTATAAAGTATTTGTTGATGAATTAGAAAATTCAATTCTAGTGTGTTCGTCATTTTCAGGTAACATTATTTGTGCAGGGGACTGCAACATTGACTTCTTAAATTCAGATCATAAGACTACATCATATTTTCATCCCTCCGAGGTAACTTGGAATTATTACAAGCAGATGCGCAATATAACGAATATTGCAATCAGATCCGAAAAAAAAGCTTACTTCAAATATATTGCGCAAACGCGTAACTCAAAACAGTTGTGGTCAGAACTTAGGAGGTTGCATATAAAACAAACAAACATCAACGAAAATTCTTTCGCTTTTGATGTAGATGAGATTAATAGATGTTTTATAGATAGCGTTCCTAACTTATTAGTTGATCCTCTAACCCTTCAGCATTATACTGATAATTGCATTGCAAAGTCTAAATTTAGTTTTCGCCTTGTTAAATATGAAGATATTTCCAAAATTATTGCATCACTTAAAAGTAACTCATTTGGGATTGACGGAATCAATCTTATAATGTTAAAATTATGTTGTCCTTACATTATTTCGTTCATTACTCATATTGTCAATTGCTGCTTGACTGATAATGTATTTCCTGATCTATGAAAACTGCACTAATTACACCAATACCCAAAGTTAATTGTCCTACCTCACTTACACAATATAGACCGATTAGTATACTACCAACTATTTCGAAAATTCTAGAACGAATAGTAAATGCGCAAATCATGTTACACCTTGTTGATAATGCAATTTTGCCAGTTACTCAGTCGGGTTTCAGGTCATCACATAGTTGTAATTCTGCACTCTTACATGTCGTTGATGACATAATATCTGCGTTAGATTCTGGAAATAGCACTATTCTGACACTTTTAGATCTAACCAAAGCATTTGATACAATTAATCATTCCATGTTACTGGGTATATTGCATTATATAGGTTTTGAAAACGACGCCATTAGTTTCTTTTCTTGTTACCTACAACGTCGCTCTCAAAGGGTTCGGTCTAAAGGCAATGTATCAAATGCGTTATCTGTCAATAATGGTGTACCACAGGGATCGATCCTGGGACCAACGCTTTTTTTAATCTACACGAGTGCACTCTGTAACAAATTAAAATTTTGTAATATACACATGTATGCCGACGACACTCAAATTTATCGGTCATTCACTCACGTAAATTTACATCAGGCGATTTTTGAAGTTAACTATGATTTGGAGCAAACGCGCATTTTCTGTGATAAACATGCCTTACAATTGAATCCCTCAAAATCGAATGCTTTACTATTCAGTAATAAGTTGGTGACTTCTCAGTTGCCTGAGTTACACATTAATAATGTTATTGTTCCGTTTGTTGATCAAGCTAAAAATTTAGGTGTACTTCTGGATCCATCGCTTAGATTTAAGTCACATATAATACAGTGCACACAAAAAGCGTTTTTTAGTTTAAAATTATTGTATCCTCACAAATCGTCCCTTACCACCCAAGTTAAATTAATGTTATGTAATTCCCTAGTACTTTCCCAATTCTCCCATTGTTCATCTGTGTATGCATTCTGTATTACGAACGATACTTCACAACGTATTCAACGGATCCAAAATTCTTGCCTCAGATTTGCGTATGGCATTCCAAAATATCATCACATCTCTCATAAATTAAAAGATGCCCATTGGCTCAATATGGCAAACAGACGCTACCTTCAGTCTGCGACACTATTTCACAAAATTATTACTGACAAACAACCAGCGTATATTTATACAATAAAATCAGGTATAGGACAGATATTCATAACTTGAATTTAAGGCATAGGGGTCTACTCACTATACCCCAGCATAAAACATCTTTATTCCGCCGTTCATTTAGTTACAATATGGCTTCGGTATACAACACTGTACCTTCGTCTCTCAAGGGTTTGACCAGTAAGAAATTTAAGTTTGAAATGTTTAATATTCTATTTACATCACAAAGTTAAGATTTTGTTTTCCTTATACCTTTTATTTTTATTTTTTTCTCGTGTGATTTTACGTCTACTTATTTAATATTTGTTTTTTATGTCACTATGGTGTACCTACAGGTTTTATTTTTAGCTGAAGAAGTGTTACTTTTATTTTATACGTCACTCCACTTATTTATGTGCATGGTGCATATGGAAGAGCAGCTTTTGCTGAATTTGTACCATGGGATTCCATGTTATTATTGGAATAAATATATATTATTATTATTATTATTATTATTTATTAACCCTTTAAATACAATGGTACCCCGTACCATGTTTGCCCATGGTGTCATATCGGTACTTGCACTTGCAATTAAATAAATTATTTCGCTTTATTTATTATTATATACAAAATACATCACATTCAACTTTGTAAAAATGAACCCGGATTTAAAGCAGTTCATTTTTGACTATCTTAATACAAAGAAAAACTAAGTACAAAAAACAGGTAAAATTGGCAAGTAAACGTAATCGACATTAGATAAATAAAATACAGTACAGTCTATAACATATAAACAAATATAAATAATAATGGAACTTTTTACACTTAAAAATGTACGATCACAATCATGGAAATCCCTAAAATTACAGTCGTCGTTAAAATGGACGGAAGAGAAGAGCCACTTATGGAATTAGTCGTTATAGGAGGATCTGTAACAAAAATATTTATAATTAATGATAAGGGATATGACCATTCTTACTTTGCACACCGATATTCCAGGATTTTGTGGGTATCCTAGTGGGTGACATTGTTGGAAGTTTTTTGGTGGTGATGTCGTCTTGTGTGGAAATTTGACCTACAAACACTGTGTGGTAAAAATTATCAAAAAAATCAACGGATATACCTATGCAAGCATACAGTCCTTGTTTAATCAGATTCATCCCATTCTGTAAGGGATCTAGCTGGCGTTGGCAGTGATCTCCCGCTTCCTTTATGTAGATATCTTTCTTGTCAGAAATAATTGAACCGACGAAACATTCAAACGCTTCTGACGCGACATCCTTTCTTTGAGTGTAAGTGTACAACAGACCCGACTCTGTCCAATGACCTAAGCACCTGTACTCCCTTTCCTCGTAAACCTCATTTGTTGTACAGTCGGAGACTTGGTAGTACATGAGCTCTGGAGCTCTACAATCCGACCATAATTTCGCACATAATTCCGTAATGTCTGGAATTACTCCAGTATATTCACCAGAAATTGGACAAGAAGCCTCGAGTTTTCTGTTTAAACCTAAATTTTTTTTAATGTAACCGCAAGTTTTGCTTGTAACAGGAATTACTTACGTCCTTGGGTAATCCAAGAATTTTCTACAAAGTTTTCGTCGGAACACAGATCAATTTCGTCCTTCTTATTGCTGAAAGTTATTCCCACTTGAAATTCCATTATGTTATTACTTCGTTTCTTAACCTTAAGACAGGTAAACTGTTTCTTGTCGCTAAAATGAAATTGTTATTCATTGGGATCTATGCTAAAGCTATTAACATGACTTACCATTGAGTTTTGGTAAACACCAAATACTTGTCTTGGGATTCTTCGCGTACGCATTTAATTGAATATGTCTTAAATGAGGTCTGATTTCTATAAGTAAAGGTATTGTCATCCACTGTTACGTGTTCCCATTCTCCCGATAGCCAATCTGGAAAGCTGCAAAATCCAAATTGTGGTACCTATTTACTTCGAAGCAAGAGCCAAGCATCTTACCGACATTCTCCTAACTCGACCGCTCGAGGCCAATTATTATCATTTTTAGGAACCAATTCGAAAACTTCGTGCCCATAACTTGAGTTATGCAAGTCAGTGTTACAGGTTGAATCTTTCCCTAAGGCCAAGTATATGTTTCCTGTTGTTTCGTTACGTTTGTACATCTGCAAGTACGTATAATTAGCGCATTTACTGTGCAGGTTGCTGTTTACAAACCGCGCAACGATATTGTGGCAAACGGTTCTTCAAGTGTCGATTATCCAAAAACGTTAAGAACGTTTCACCATTAGGACCTTCCCATTCTCCCAGACAATCTAACTTTAAATCTGAAAGTGAAAAATTATCAGATGGTAACTAAAGAATGATCAACACCCTACCATAACTAGCAAACAAACACTGCCGGAAGTGAATGTTTAATGTCGATCCGGAAGGGCATGAATGTAAATCTGATTCGAAACCAGTACATTCCCTTCTATAAAATTTATCTGTCGTAAAATACCTTAAATTATATTTCCCATATATTGGGCAGAATTCTTTAGGAATTTCATTTCCCTCTAAGTCTTTGGTTTCTGAAAAACAAACGCAAGTGAGACAATTTCCTCGTGCATCCATCACACTTACTAAATAGGATTATTTCAGTCGCAGAGCGCGTCTCGAGCGACGCTTCTGATGGGCAGTTTATTGCGGCGGATTCTTCATTGGTATAGCACTTTTTGGAGATTTGCTCATCTCCCGCCGCATGAACTTGCAAAACATTCTTTGATCGCAACTTTAGATGCAAACATCGCACGCAGCTGTTTGATCCATAGCTGTAAAATACGATTGATTATTCATCAATAAATATAGTCAATTCGTAAGTTAAGCGCACCGAAGACTTTGAAACATGAATTTAGAGTGAGTAACCAATGTTATTATTATTAAGGGTATTAACATATTTCCGAGCATAATTCGCCAATGTGGTAAAGTACAATTTACTTTACTTTTTTTTTACTTGTAACAATTATATTTAGAACAATCAATTTGTTCAGGATTATAATGGTCAAACAAAAAAAGCCTTTAGTTATCGAAATATTCAACAAAATATTTTTAATGAAGCACCCTGTATTTTTTTACAAATTTTAAGCCAACATCAAATCTTGTGTTCTTTAACAAATAACTCCCCATTTAGTAAATCACATAGCTGTAAACTTCATGTAACTTAAATATAATTTAAATAAACCCTTAAAGAGAATCTAAAAAAGCGGCAGAGTCGGTGTGACCCTACGGGGTCATTGGATTTGAGCCTTTTTCAATAGGCTTATTACTTGTGGCATATATGACGTGTTTAGAATTCCACGAGAGTATTTTTAAGGATATTACAAAAATACTTACTTAATCATAAGCATAAAATTATTCCCAATCCTTCTATGGCAGTTTCCCCATATTGGAATTGAATTTGCAGTGATGTTTAGTACACTATATTGTATTCCCTCGCCGGTATTTGAGCTCTGCATTTTATACTCTCCTTGAAATTCGGGAGGAAAGTAGCAAGTTGCGTATACTGGCGTCCCTGAAAAGAAAATAAACGTGTAAACAAATATAGCTTTAAATATGCTTTCATAAATAAGAAAAAAATTTGCTTTTATCCCAAGTACCAAGTACCTATAGGTACGTATTAAATTTCATTTAAATACCTTCATACATAAAAAAGTTAGCAATTCGGTTAATAAGTGGTCGAGATGCGAAAAGGGCACTGTGAATGTTGAATGACGAACTCCGATCTACAAATGTGATAAAAAATCCACCCGCAAAGTTTCATCGGAATCGCACTCGTTTTCGGGATATCATGCTAACGGACAGACACCTCAAAATTCTAAACTCGCTGGGAGCTCGTTAATAATGCTGCTTAAATGTGTAACTAATGTGCCAAAACTAAAAAAAGGGACCAGAATAATACTTTTCATTTAATTTCCAAATTTTTGTCTTGTTTGTGTTCTGGAAAAAATCTCTCACAAACGCTATTTATTCAGCATATATGCACATAAATTCTACATCAATAAGTACACGCGTTTTGATAGGGTGCTTATGATGGTTGTATATTTTAAAGCGCAGCTAAGGGGTCATACACATTTTTTCCAAGCGCTATTGTGGTAGAACCGATTTTTTTGCGTATGTACTGAAAGATTAAGATTATAAAGACGATCTCCAAGTGTTGTTGGTGCATAATCGAAATTTGCCAATTAGCGGCGAAATTAGCCTGTTAATATGTTTCCAAAAAAAACAACATGTATTACCTCTTTACCTGCGGCCTGGATGTAATTTCCAATACTTCTACCTTAGAACCGTATAATTAATTTTTCAAAGAGGTTGTAATATAACGCTATACATGGAAATTAAATAAATTAAGTTTAACGAGGAATAAATAATTAATATGGTAATGTTCTTTTTACACAAATAGTGTAAATTTTCCAAGCCAAACAGAACTTCTCAGAACGTAAAAAATCCTTCTCTACTTTTTACTCGAGAGAAGGCTCTCATATTCGTAATTTTGAAGCGCTTGACTGCTCTAATGATTACATCCTGAACATTCAGCATTAAATGTTGGGTGCGAAGTATCTTTACCTACACTTCCTTGTAATGTTCGTTGATCTTTCAATAAATTTTCGTTAGCTTAATTTATTCACTTGTTTTGAGCGTATTTAATGAGAATGTTCGCGCTTAATAACCGAGTAAACCCTTTCCAGGTTCATGCATGAGTGTATATACATTTCTAAAGCGTGCCCCTTTAAAAGCCAGAAAATGTAAAACTTTTACGTTTATAGTTACCGTTTACTGCACAACGTTTTTCGCTTTGTGGCGGGGTATTGTTTTTTCAATAATGCAGCCCAGAAATTCACTTTATAAAATAATGCTGAAATGCCTATGGGCAATATTAATTCTATATTTGAAACCTCGTTTGTAACTAAAAAGCTCAGTGGTGGTATCCAGTTCAATAAGTTTTCCTATGCGTAAAGTAAAAAACCAACGCCCAATTGTTCAACCGTGATGGTCATTCAGTCGTAACGAACGTATTGTAATATCCATTTTATTTTTCTGCTTACTTTTATTTCTTTTATGACCCCTGAGTTTTTCAATGCTAAGAAGGGGAATTATTAGCAATTCCCACAACATATTTTCGCAAATAGGCGAGATCGTTTTCGTATTTAGTAAGAAGTCATACATTAGTTTTCGTTCAAGTTCAATTTTCCTTTTTCTGGTGTGAGGTTTGAGGTATGAGATGCTGTAATCGATCTCCCTAGTGGGTTAATAGAGGAGAGGAAAAACAATTCGGAACCTCGGAACTTTTCATTAGGGTATCATGAACGATAACATTTCGTTTGAAATCTATAATACCGGGTGGTGCCTAGAGCGAGGCAGCATAGGGATTTCAACGGTAATTTCTTCATGGCCAATTGCTAGCTCCCCTAATTATTTTAGAGCAAAAGTCTAAATACGTTTTTTTAGAGAAAAAGATACTGCATCTGTTCATACGCTTGCTTATAGTTTTCCGTTTTTCAGAGCTGTAGGAATCCACAAAATAAAAAATTACATTTTCATAATTCAGTGATGCTTTGGAATCTTTTAACAAACTGCAAGCAGATCGCATCTAAGTTGTTTGACGTCGAACGGTTTTCATATTTAATTCTGTTTCAACTAACCGACGCCGACGCAAGAAAAAGCGTCTATGGGGTAATGTTTTTTTATAGAGAATACAATGCTGCATCTCCATCAGATACTATTTGTTTATCATCTTCCGGAACCAGAGTACATAATAATAATAATGGTCATTTATTGAAGGATAACACTGTACATACTAATAAAAAGAATTCATGACTATTAAATAGAAAATAAAAAACTAACGTCAGAGTCACCTTCAATAGGGCGAAGTTCAGATTTATGAATAGGAAGTTTCATAATCTGCTCTTCCACTTAACCCTAATACTTAACAACAATTTTTATTGAAAGAAAGAATACGTCCCAAGTACAAAATTGAAATTATATTAATTAATTTAATATGAATTAGTTGGTTGTTTAACTGATTAGTGGCGTGCCATTTGCAATAAATGGCAATAATAATTTATAGATGAAGAAGAGAGGAAGTTAATTAAAAAAAAAGAGAAAAATATCAAGGTAATAAAAAAAAATAAAATTAAAAGAAATTTTAAGTACTATTTTTTTTATTTTCATAAATAGTTTTAGTAAGGCGATGTCTGAAAGAGGCAGTCCTAAGACTTTTTACACATTCAGGCAGTGAGTTATATAAATTACTAACGGTATATGAGAATGATTTTTTAAACAAATGCGATTTATGGATTGGAGGTGTGATAAAACTTTTCTTTCTAATATTTACGTTGTGAATATCATATCTAAATTTAATTTTGTCAAAAAGGTAATTCGGTTTCTTAGTAGTTATAATTTTGTGAAATAGAACTGCTGAATGCAGAACTCTTCGGTTAGACATATTTAGCCATTTAGATTCAGTTAATTTATGAGAGATACGATGGTGTTTCTTAATACCATATATAAGCCGAAGGCAAGAGTTCTTCATTCGCTGAATTCTTTTCACATCAAAGCTACCAAGACACGGTCCATACACAGTATCGCAATGATTAAAGTGCGACAGTACTAGAGATTCACATAACAACATCTTCAATTTCCCACTTAGGCAGCATCTTTGGTTAAAAATAAGTTTCAAATTTATATATACGCTTTCCGTAATAAAGAAGTAATATGTTGGGAAAATTTCAAACCATCATCTAAAATCAGGCCCAGATCGAAGAAAAAGAATTTGACTTGAGGAAGAATTGTTCTTAAACTTAAATTCGAATTTTCCGCTACTGCAGCCAAAATGTTGGATGCATTGTCGTTTTCCTGATGGTTTTGACGGACATTTTGAACGTTAACTATCATTGCACTTGCAGTTATTTAACACTGTGCCTGTTCTTTCAAATTTGCGCACAATTCTGTATACTGCTTGGAATCGGCCGATCGGGGTACTTCACACTAAATAAAGACGTTACTTGGCGGGCATAAAACAACTTTAACATTTCCTCTTTCCCTTAAGTTAAATACATGATAAATAATGTTATGATTAACTAATTTATAAACAATTTCGAGATAAATTTAATATACGTCAAAGGTAAATAATCAAACGATGTCGCTGTTTTTTAGGTAATTCCAAGGCATATCTGATTTATTGTAAAATGAACATTTTTATTTTGTCGATTTCTACGGTTTTGAAAAACGGAAAATTATGAGTAATAGTATGAACAGATGCAGTATTTTTTCTCTGAAAAAAATATATTTAGACTTTTGCTCTAAAATAATTAGGGGGGCTAGTAATTGAGTATAAAGAAATGACCATTGAAATCCCTATGCTGCCTCGCGCTAGGTACCATCCTGTACATAGACAATGTGTTAAAAACTGGTTTTTAATTTTTAAATAAAGCGTTGAATAAGTGCTTGACAAATATGCCAGTGTTTAAAAATCTAGCGAGTTGTCCACTGACGAACCCTACAGATGGTAATTTTGCAAGCCCAAAATTGTCCAGGGAACGAAATGCAAATTTATCCGAGTGCCAACTATCCCATAAAGGGAATTTTTTAAACCGAAATAACTTGCTAAATAGTTTATTTATAATGTAGTTCATGCTATATCTATCAATGTTTATTTTCTTGGTAGATGATTAATGGAGAAGGGCTCTTTACACATAAACATTTAAAGGCTGCCTGGCATACAATCAACATCTACGCTATATAATGATTTTAAGATTGATTATTTTTAGTTGCCTACATCCTTGATGATGTTGGTGTACTTCTTTTGCTAACTGGCCCCTTTTCCTAATAAAAAGAGTAATCAAAATTGGTCTTAAAAAGCTTATTTAAGAGTAAATGAAATTGATATTGGTAATCAAAAGTAAAGTTGGATTGAATGTAAAAGGAAACTAACCTCCCAATCCCAACTCTTGGCAATCATGATCACAATTACATGAAATAGCTAATTACGCCATGTGCTAGGTTTAATTTTACGAAAGCTTGATGTGAACCTTTATGGAGTAACATTCTCGGGCTTTGTTTATCATCAATACTGCCCTGTAAAGTATAATGGAGCACGGACATTACGGCTGTAATACGTCATCTGTTTTGATTATTCCAGACGGTTAAAGTTTTCTCGAATCCTTTTGGACCACAATGATTCCATCCAATTCCAGAATTCTCTCCTCCCGTCGAATCATTATTTTCTTCAATCAGCGATCGCTCTAATCATTTTATAGTAATTCAAAGTTTCATTGTAATGATTGGACTGCTTGTCGTTTCAACGTGAATTCATATCACCAATCTTTCGTTCCTGAAAGCAATACCAACGCTGCTTCAAAAAAACAATCGCTTCTTTAACAACAAACAAACATAGAACGCGAAAACCTCTTGAGCTTCGTTCTTATGCCTTTTACTATTGAATAAGCACTGCCTTTACTCAACTTCGCACAGTAGCCTGTGACAGATTGGCAAAGCGGCTTCAAATTTTGGAAA